CGTCCGGGAGACAAGTGGCTCTCTCTTGGTACAGGTAGAAGAAGAAATCATTTTCACGGCACTGTCATTTCCTAACCGACATTCTTCTGTTTCCGAACAAATCTTGCTAATGAGATTTTTGTGCTTTAGTGACGCCGCGAAATACTAAGACCGCGACGAGCGACGTGACGCAATGCCGACTGATAGCGTGAAGGTAAGGTGTTGCTCGTAGCAACCAGACTTCAACCTGATGTTCACCTGTGCTGAAGACAAAAAACGTACGACTTGTTCACACATGAAAATTAATGACACTGGGAGTGTTTGTTCAACGTAGAACACCCATTCAAGTGACCAGGCCAAAAACGTGCGTTCTCGCGATCACACCGAGGTCCAGATCACACCCAGGTCCAGGTCACACTCAGGTCCAGAACAAACCCAGCTCCACGTCATACTCAGGTTCAGATCATACCCAGGTCCAGGTCACACCCAGGTCCAGGTCACACCCAGGTCCAAGTCACACTCAGGTCCAAGTCACACTCAGGTCCAGAACACACCCAAGTCCAGGTCACACCCAGATCCAGGTCACACCCAGGTCCAAGTCACACTCAGGTCCAAGTCACACTCAGGTCCAAGTCACACTCAGGTCCAGAACACACCCAAGTCCAGGTCACACCCAGATCCAGGTCACACCCAGGTCCAAGTCACATTCAGGTCCAGATCTCATTCAGGTTCAATTCACACCCAGGTCCAGGTCACACTCATTTACATCACACCCAAGTCCAGGTTCACTTCACATTCAGGTCCATGTCGCATTCAAGTCCAGGTCACACCCAGGTCTACAGTACATCACACTCAGGTCCACATCACACACAGGTCCAGGTCACACTCAGGTTCAGGTCACAATCATGTCCAAGTCACACTCAGGTAACACACCCAGGTCCACATCACACCCAGGTCCAGGTCAAACCCAGGACCAGATCACACCCAGGTCCACGTCACATTCAGGTCCACGTCCCAATAAGGTCGAGGTCAAACCCAGGTCCAGATCACACCCAGATCCAGATCACACCCAGGTCCAGATCACACCCAGGTCCACGTCACATTCAGGTCCATGTCACACCCAGGTCCATGTCAGCTTCAGGTCCACGTCCCACCCAGGTCCACGTCACACCCAGGTCCAGATCACACCCAGGTCCACGTCACATTCAGGTCCAGATCTCATTCAGGTCCAATTCACATCCAGGTGCACGTCACACCCAGGTCCACGTCACACCCAGGTCGACGTCACACGCAGGTCCAGATCACACCCAGGTCCACGTCACATTAAGATCCACATCACACCCAGGTCCACGTCACATTCAGGTCCAGATCTCATTCAGGTCCAATTCACAACAAGGTCCACGTCACACCCAGGTCGACGTCACACCCAGGTCCACATCACATTAAGATCCACATCACACCCAAGTCCACGTCACATTCAGGTCCAGATCTCATTCAGGTCCAATTCACACCCAGGTCCAGATCACACTTATTTACATCACACCCAAGTCCAAATCACACCCAGGTCCACTTCACATTCAGGTCCAGATTACACTCAGGTCAGAGATCACACCCAGGTCTACGTCACACCCAGGTCCAGATCACGATGGTTTTGAAAAGGCAAAGCTGTGACACTAACCTCTTTTCAGCCAGTGACAGTGTGCAGTATTATCACTGATCACTGTATTAGTGTCACTGGAGATGTCAGTTAGTGTTCCTCCCAGCAAGGGTCTGTTAGCACCAGATTGCCAGCCGCACTTTCGCTGTCCCACTATAAGTCGCTGATCACTGCCATTAGCAGTATAGCATCTACAGCTGTGTAAATTCCAGTATATATCCCATAGTCTGTAGACGCTACAACTGCCACACAGACCAATCAATACACACATTTATATATATATAAGACATGGAGCAGAATACATTTTGGCCTAAATTTAGGAAGAAATTAGATTTTATTGGCTATGTTTTATAACAAAGTAGAAAATATTTAATTTTTCAATATTTTTGATCTTTTTTTCGTTTATATCTCAAAAAATACAAAACCCAACTGGTGACCAAATACCGCCAAAAAAAAGCTCTGTTCATGTGAAAAAAAAATCATAGAAATTTTATTTGGGGACAGCATTGCATGATGGTGCAATTACCAGTTAAAGTAGCACAGTGCTGATTAGGAAAAAAAAGAAATGGCTAGGTCATGAAGGGGGTAAAACCTTCTAGGGGGGGTCAGGTGGTTTCCCATGATCGTCAATGCCATCTAGTGGACACGTACTGGATACAAGCAGATACATATTTTTCTAAAAATAACTTAATAAAGCTAATACTGCATTATGGCCAGTAGGTGGCGATGACGGTCACATCCAATCAAAGCTTTATGCAAAACACTTCCAGAATTTGTGGGGGACGGGCGAAAGCTGCTGACATTCCTCCAACTAATGTCTGCGTACAGAGACCCCCTTCTGTCATTCAATTCACCGTGAAAAACCTAAATGGCCGATCTCCGGGGATTTGGATGTACAAGTATACTATACTTCCTACAGCACCGGGGGAAGGGAAAATATATATATAGCTCAATAAAAAAGGTGCATATTATATATATATAAATATATATATATATATATATATATACATATACACACACAAAAATTCTATCTATCTATCTATATACATATATATATATATATATATATATATATAAATAATAAAAAAAGTATAAAAAACAAATAAAATAATAATTTTATATATATATATATATATACATATATATATATAAAATATATATATATATAACGAAAAAATTTTTTATACATATATATAAAATCAATAATAAAAATAAATACACACACATACATACATATATATATATATACGTTAATAAAAGAAAAAATATATAATAATTATATATATATATCTCAATAATAAAAAAAAATTTTTTATATATATATTTCTCCATCTCAATGATAAAAAAAAATAATTTATATATATATATATATATATATATATATTAATAAAAGAAGAAAGAAAACCCATATATATATATATATATATATATATATATATATATATATATATATATATAGTATATATCAGTAATAAAAAAATCAATAAATAAAAAAACAAAAATATATACTTTATACAAAATAAATAATATAATATATAATTATTTATCCAACACAGATGGTGAAGATTGAAGCTTGTTCTACTCCACATTAAAATGGAATTTCTTCGTCAGAGTGCCGTGACCCCCCCCCCCCCCCCCCCCGGTACACTCTGGGATTTCTTGGTCAGAGTGCTGTGAGCCCCCCCAGTACGGTCTGGGATTTCTTGGTCAGAGTGCTGTGAGCCCCCCCAGTACGGTCTGGGATCTCTTGGTCAGAGTGCTGTGAGCCCCCCCCCCCCGGTATGGTCTGGGATTTCTTGGTCAGAGTGCTCTGAGCCCCCCCCCCCCTCCCCCCCCGGTACGGTCTGGGATTTCTTGGTCAGAGGGCTCTGAGAACCCCCCCCCCCCCCCCCCCAGTACGGTCTGGGATTTCTTGGTCAGAGTGCTGTGAGCCCCCCCAGTATGGTCAGGGATTTCTTGGTCAGAGTGCTGTGAGCCCCCCCGGTATGGTCTGGGATTTCTTGGTCAGAGTGCTCTGAGCCCCCCCGGTACGGTCTGGGATTTCTTGGTCAGAGTGCTCTGAGCCCCCCCCGGTACGGTCTGGGATTTCTTGGTCAGAGTGCTCTGAGCACCCCCCGGTACGGTCTGGGATTTCTTGGTCAGAGTGCTCTGAGCCCCCCCGGTATGGTCTGTGATTTCTTGGTCAGAGTGCTCTGAGCCCCCCCCCCCGGTACGGTCTGGGATTTCTTGGTCAGAGTGCTGTGAGCCCCCCCCCGGTATGGTCAGGGATTTCTTGGTCAGAGTGCTGTGAGCCCCCCCGGTATGGTCTGGGATTTCTTGGTCAGAGTGCTCTGAGCCCCCCCCGGTACGGTCTGGGATTTCTTGGTCAGAGTGCTCTGAGCACCCCCCGGTACGGTCTGGGATTTCTTGGTCAGAGTGCTCTGAGCCCCCCCCCCCCCCGGTACGGTCTGGGATTTCTTGGTCAGAGAGTGCTGTGAGCCCCCCCCCGGTATGGTCAGGGATTTCTTGGTCAGAGTGCTGTGAGCCCCCCCGGTATGGTCTGGGATTTCTTGGTCAGAGTGCTCTGAGCCCCCCCCGGTATGGTCTGGGATTTCTTGGTCAGAGACCTGTGAGCCCCCCCACCGGTACAGTCTGGGATTCCTTGGTCAGAGTGCTCTGAGCCCCCCCCCCCCCCCCTCGGTACGGTCTGGGATTTCTTGGTCAGAGTGCTCTGAGTCCCCCCCCCGGTACGGTCTGGGATTTCTTGGTCAGAGTGCTGTGAGCCCCCCCCGGTACGGTCCGGGATTTCTTGGTCAGAGTGCTGTGAGCCCCCCCCGGTACGGTCCGGGATTTCTTGATCAGAGTGCTGTGAGCCCCCCCGGGTGATCTGTATTCCCGGTATTGGAGTCGTTGGACCCGCAGACGGAGGAGTACATACATATGGATCTATTTCTATACATAGTATGGGAGAGGTGAGTCATGGCTCCCGGTGGGGAATGCGTTAGGTACGAAGGTGCGGCGGCGGCAGCGGTGGTGGGAGGAAAGAACATCATCAGCTCCAGAATTAGCAATGATAACACTCAGGTTAAAGGAGACCTCCGCTGATGACTGCAATTCTTGCTCATCCAATCGATTCAACAGCAGCTGACTCCCAGTCAGCCAATAGGAAAGTACTGGAGCCGGAGGCTGGTGGGGAAAAAGTGTATTCACCAGGAAGGGATATTCTCGCTCTACCCTTCCTCCAATGACACAATGCTGGTGTTCTTACTGGCCAATCAGCATCCAGGGCTGGGGGGCTTGGAGAGGGGGATGGTGTATGAGGTAAAACTAGCCTGTCTTCCGTCCCCCAGTGATCAGACTGTACATTGTAACTTTGCAGAAGGAGTAGGAATCAATTCCTCAGTATGAAGCTCTCTACGCACTGTTGTTGGGCTCATCTGAAGGCCACACCAAGTTTGGAGGTCTTTAGCTATTGACTCTGCAGACAGTTGGCGACTTCTGCGCACTGTGCGCTTCAGCATGCGCTGACCCCGCCCTGTCATGTGACATGGCCTACCACTTGGTGGCTGAGTGGCGGTTGTTCCCAGTGGCTTCCACTTTGTTATAATCCCACTAACAGTTGAGCGTGGAATATTTAGTAGCCAGGAAATGTCACGGATGGACTTATTGCCCAGGTGGCCACCTATCACGGGACCACGCTTGGAGTCACCGAGCTCCTGAGAGCGACCCATTCTTTCACCAATGTTTGTAGAAGCAGTCTACATGCCTAGGGGATGGATTGTATCCACCTGTGTCCATGGAGGGGATTGGAACACCTGAATCACATGGTATGGAGGGGATTGGAACACCTGAATCACATGATATGGAGGGGATTGGAACACCTGAATCACATGATTGGGAGGGGATTGGAGCACCTGAATCACATGATATGGAGGGGATTGGAACACCTGAATCACATGATATGGAGGGGATTGGAACACCTGAATCACATGATTGGGAGGGGATTGGAGCACCTGAATCACATGATATGGAGGGGATTGGAACACCTGAATCACATGATTGGAGGGGATTGGAACACCTGAATCACATGATATGGAGGGGATTGGAACACCTGAATCACATGATTGGGAGGGGATTGGAGCACCTGAATCACATGATACCATTCCGCCCATTGACACCAATGATGGGGCACTATTCCCCCCACTGACACCAATGTTGGGGTACAAAATGTCCAGCCAGATGCCAGGTGCCTCCTTTCTCCGCACACAACGCCGTTGGAGCGACGCGCAGGGCATTTACGAAGAGGCAAATATTGAACCTAATCGATGTTTATGGGCGCAAAACACATTTCAATTAATATTATTGCAAACAAAATTAAGTTGAGGGAAAGGACGGCTCCCGGGGGCCCCATCCCGCAATGGCGGCTAATAAAGCGTCAGGAAATCGCAGATCAAACAGAATTGTTGCAGCACAAACTACAGAAAAGTAATTAAAGCTGATGATGGCTGAGCGTTCGCTGACACCGAGCCTCCGCCCGCGTCTGGTGACCTGGATTGTCACAATAAAATATTGCGAGTTCGGCTCCTTCGCTCCCTCCAGTGGTAACCAATCCGAGGAGCTCAGGGTGTCGCCGGACCCAAAGATGGAGAAGAAGTGTGTCGGGTCAGCTACAGACAAAGATGATGAATAACATGGATGGCAGTTTCCAAAGCAGCAAGGAGGCACTACTCCCACTGACACCAATGATAGGGCATTATTCCTCCCACTGACACCAATGATGGGGCACTATTCCTCCCACTGATACCAATGATGGGGCACTATTCCTCCCACTGACACCAATGATGGGGCACTATTCCTCCCACTGACACCAATGATGGGGCACTATTCCTCCCACTGACACCAATGATGGGGCACTATTCCTTCCACTGAGACCAATGATGGGGCACTATTCCTCCCACTGACACCAATGATGGGGCACTACTCCTCCCACTGACACCAATGATAGGGCATTATTCCTCCCACTGAGACCAATGACGGGGCACTATTCCTCCCACTGACACCAATGATAGGGCATTATTCCTCCCACTGACACCAATGATGGGACACTATTCCTCCCACTGACACCAATGATGGGGCACTATTCCTCCCACTGACACCAATGATGGGACACTATTCCTCCCACTGATACCAATGATGGGGCACTATTCCTCCCACTGACACCAATGATGGGGCACTATTCCTCCCACTGACACCAATGATGGGGCACTATTCCTCCCACTGACACCAATGATGGGGCACTATTCCTCCCACTGACACCAATGATGGGGCGCTATTCCTCCCACTGACACCAATGATGGGGCACTATTCCTCCCACTGATACCAATGATGGGGCACTATTCCCCCCACTGACACCAATGATGGGGTATTATTCCTCCCACTGATACCAATGATGGGGCACTATTCCTCCCACTGACACCAATGGTGGGGCACTATTCCTCCCACTGACACCAATGATGGGGCACGGTTACTCCCACTGACACCATTGATGGAGCACAATTTTTCTCAATGACCAACGTTTGGGTGAATTTGAACTGTGTATTATATATTTATTACTATTAATAATTTATTTTTAAAGAGGACTTTTCCTTTAAACATGGAAGTTGCGTTTTTTCGCACAAACCGTTTATTTCTGACGAAGGACTCCCTCCGCAAGGTTGAATAAGGATGTGTTTAGATAGCGGCGTGTTAATGACACCAAGTAAGTTTTCTAATTATATTTTAATTGCGCTCCCGGAAGCTCCGGTGGCTCCGACGTTTTTACTACGACGCATGAAAAATGTTCCCCGTCTCGTCTGCGTGCCACGCCACCGGCAAATCAGAAGGATAATAAACTACCTAAAAAAGTCATAATTCCTCCAGTAAATGTTTAGACGCCTTTAATGTTGTGCCGAATCTGAAAATAATAAATAACGCCGACAGTTGGAGAATGACACCTTCGCTGGGAACCGATTCTCTCCTCTTCCCATTGTACCCGGGGAGTCAAAAATCAAAATCCTAATCTAAAAAGAAAAAAAAAAAATACCCTCACCGGCCACTTTATGAGGTCCACCTGTTCAATGGCTCGGTGACACCAATTGCTAATCAGCCAATCACATGGCAGAAACTCAATGCGTTTAGGCATCTAGACGTGGTGGAGATGACTTGCTGAAGTTCAAACCGGGAAGAAAGGGGATTTAAGTGACTGCGCATGGCATGGTTGTTGGTTCTGAATATTTCAAAAACTGCTGATCTCCTGGGATTTTCCCGCACATCCATCTCTAGGGTTTACACAGAATGGTCCAAAAAAGAGAAAATATCCAGTGAGTGGCAGCTGTGTGGAGGAAACTGCCTTGCTAATGTCAGAGGTCAGAGGAGAATGACTGGTTCCAGATTATAAAAAGGCAACAGTAACTCCAATAACCCCTCGTTACACCCAAGGTATGCAGAATCCCATCTCTGAACGCACAACACATCCAACCTTGAAGCAGATGGGCTACAGCAGCAGAAGACCACACCGGGTGCCACTCCTGTCAGCTAAGAACAGGAAATGGAGGCTACAATTCCCACAGGATCACCAACATTGGACGATAGAAGATTGGAAAAAACGTTGCCGGGTCTGATGAGTCTGGATTTCAGCTGCGACATTCAGATGGTAGGGTTAGAATTTGGTGTAAACAACATGAAAGCATGGATCCATCCTGCCTTGTATCAATGGTTCAGGCTGGTGGTGGTGGTGTCATGGTGTGGGGGATCCATCCTGCCTTGTATCAATGGTTCAGGCTGGTGGTGGTGGTGTCATGGTGTGGTGGATCCATCCTGCCTTGTATCAATGGTTCAGGCTGGTGGTGGTGGTGTCATGGTGTGGGGGATCCATCCTGCCTTGTATCCATGGTTCAGGCTGGTGGTGGTGTCATGGCGTGGGGGATCCATCCTGCCTTGTATCAATGGTTCAGGCTGGTGGTAGTGGTGTCATGGTGTGGTGGATCCATCCTGCCTTGTATCAATGGTTCAGGCTGGTGGTGTCATAGTGTGGTGGATCCATCCTGCCTTGTATCAATGGCTCAGGGTGGTGGTGGTTGTGGTGGCATGGTGTGGTGGATCCATCCTGCCTTGTATCAATGGCTCAGGCTGGTGGTGGTTGTGGTGGCATGGTGTGGTGGATCCATCCTGCCTTGTATCAATGGTTCAGGCTGGTGGTGTCATGGTATGGGGGCTATTTTCTTGGCACACTTTGGACCCCTTAGTACAAATTGAGCATTGTTTAAAAACATCACGACCTACCTGAGTATTGTTGCTGACCATGTCCACCCCTCTATGACTCCAGTGTCCCCATCTTCTAATGGCTCCATCCAGCAGGATAATGAGCCTTGTCACAAAGCTCCAATCATCTCCAACTGGTTTCTGGAACATGACAATGAGGTCACTGGACTCCAATGGCCTCCACAGTCACCAGATCTCCATCCAATAGAGCACCTTTGGGATGTGATGGAACGGGAGATTCCCATCATGGATGTGCAGCCAACAAATCTGCAACAACTGCGTGATGCCATCATGTCAATATGGACCAAAATCTCTGAGGAACGTTTCCAACACCTTGTTGGATCTTTGCCACGAAGAATGAAGGCAAAAGGGGGTCCAACCCGGGACTAGCAAGGTGGACCTCAGAAAGTGGCCGGTGGGTGTATGTGCCGGCCTAGAACACCGGGTATATGGGCAGTTCTCTCTCACCAGGAAGGCCTCTGCTGCAGACGAGATGTCACACGGATGTGGCCTCTTCATTCGCAGCCAATGTTTTGTTCATTTTACTTCCCCCAGATGCAGCTTCGGCTCTCTAAAAGCCAATTCATTTTTGTGTCTTTATTCTTTCCCGACATCAAAGAAATACTGATTGCCAGGTGAAGGTTGGCGTGCGTTCACATCAGTCCCCGTCCTCGGGAGTACAAATGAAATAGCAGAGGGCGCAATCTGAGTGTAGTATCTGTACATTTTTTTTTATAAAAAAACAACAAATAGACAACTCGCATGTAGGCAGTAAAAGCTTGCTTGTCATCAGAGCGAGGCTAAGTGGTGAGGATCTCAGCAGAGTAGGAGGCCAGGTTCCAGTCCAGGGTTAGGGAGTAGGGGGGCTGTCAGCTGGGCATACCTAGCCCTTGACAAAGAGGCTGGGCGGCCTCAAAATGTATTGCTACGTCCTCTAGCAAGGTTTCCGGAAAAGAAGGCATTTCCGGTCCGCTGTGCGCTCCATGGAACCCCCAGTTACTTCCTGGTTCTTGGTCGCCATTGGATTTCCCCTAAAACCATTACTATCTGCAAATTTTGCAATGAGATAGTTTCCTTCATGGAGCTGCGGAACCAGATGTCTGACATGCACTGATGTTTCCACCAATCTGTGAGCTGCCAACTGTGTGTGTGTTCACCATCCATTCACATGCTGCACTTGGTCCTACGCCCTTTGGTGTCCTCTTGGCCTTATAGGTATTCCCAACTGACAGCCCTGTACACCTTAACCCTGGACTGGAACCTGGCTACTTGGCTTACTGAGATCCACACCACTGAATCTTTACTCTGTGGCAAGCAAGCTTTTACTAGCTATATGTGAGCTGGGGGAGCTATCTGATTGGATGCTGGCATTCCATGTGACCCTGGCAGCCATCTTGGGTCAGGGAGAGTCTATTTAGCAGTCTACTTTCTCCACTGCAGGTGGCGATCAAAGACAGCAGCATTGCAGAGGGAGAGGAAGTCAAGAGGAACATGCTTCTTCTATGGTTTCCTGGGTCACTGGGGTAGCAACTAGGTTGGATGCTGGTGTCCCATGTGACCCTGGTGGCCATATTGGGTCAAGGAGAGTCTACTTAGCAGTCTACTGTCTCCACCGCAGGTGGCAATCAAAGACAGCAGCATTGCAGGGAAGGAGGAAGTCAAGAGGAACATGGTTCTTCTATGGTTTCGTGGATCACTGGGGGAGAAAAACTAGGTTAGATGCTGGTGACCCTGGTGGCTATCTTGGGTCAGGGAGAGTCTAGCAGTCTACTGTCTCTACTGCAGGTGGCCATCAAAGACAGCAGCATTGCAGAGGGAGAGGAAGTCAAGAGGAACATGGTTCATCTATGGTTTCCTGGGTCACTGGGGGAGCTATCTGATTGAATGCTG